GTGGCTCAAGTGGTAGAGCACTAGCCTTGAGCTGAAGAGCGATGGACAAAGCTCAGGCCCAGAGTTCAGGCCCCACGACTGGACCTCCCCCCTCCCCAAAAAAAAAGAAAAAAAAGAATCTCAAAAACTTTTCTGCCTGGGCAGAGAAGACCTCAGTCTCCTGAGTAGGTCGGATTACAGGTGTGTGTTACTGGTGCCCATTGTATTTTATGATAAGTAATTCTTGTTTACAGATACAGTGATATGATTCCTGGTATTTAAAATAATATGGTAAAGGGGGAAGTAAGTGGGGCAAAAGATTGGCTATGGATTAATAGTTTTGGGGGCTGAGTGATGGTCACAAAATTATAATTCTTCATGGAGGCCTTGGCTGTGTCTGCAAGTCAGCATTTGTTTTTCTCTTTTGTTGGTCCTGGGGCTTGAACTTAGGGCTTAGGGGTTGTCTTTGAGCTCTTTTGCTCAAGGCTAGTGTTATACCACTTTGAGCCACAGTGCCACTTCCAGTTTTCTGGTGGTTAATTGGAGATTACAGTCTCACAGACTTTCCTACCTCAGATGGCTTTGAACAATGATCCTCAGATCTCAGCCTCTTAAGTAGTTAGGATTACAGTCATGAGCCACCAGCACCTGGCTATTTTTATTTTTTTGGGTCTCAGCCATTCTAAACATGTCCTATACTACCAAGCTACCTTCTTCTACCCCCAATTGCTGGAGCACTGGTAAATAAATAATATTAGTGGCTGTAAACTTAAATGTATCAGAAAACTTGTTTTCTCTTTGATAAGTTCAATTTTATAGAGTTGTATTGAGTGGTTGGAGATGTAAAGTGTATCTCATCTGATTTATTGTAGCCACTTAATATTTCTTTATGCACAGCACATTTCTAAGATAAGTAGGTCCTTTTTAATTGTAAATTTCTGTTATATCTCCTCTTTCTACTTCATTTTTTTTTTTTTTTTTGTCAGTCGTGGAGCTTGAATTCTGGGCTTGGGTGCTGTCCCTCAGCTCTTCAGCTCAAGGTGAGTGCTCTACTGCTTGAGCCACAGTGCCACATCCAGTTTTCTACTGGTTTATTGGAGATGAGAGTCTCATGAAGTTTCCTGCCTAGGCTAGCTTTGAACCATGATCCTCAGATCTCAGCCTCCTGAGTAGCTAGGATTACAGGCGTGAGCCACAGGCACTCAGCTTTCATTTCCTTTGTACTTCATTGTCCACACCCTTTTATATTGTTTTACATTGTAGCTTTATTCTTTCCTCTAACATGATATATTCCATGAGGGATTATATATAGCTTCATTTCTTGGAAATCATATAGAGATGTCTTATAGCTCAATACTATGTAATGATTCTAGCTCGGAAAACATTTTCTGAATGTACCAGTAAACTGAAGCTAAAACTCTAGATGTGGTATGGAGAGTAGAAGAGTAGAGAAAATTTTGTAGTAAAAAAGCTTTAAGAAGCTGCATGCCAGTGGCTCATGCTTGTAATCTTCAGGAGGCTAAAATCTGAGGATCATGGTTAGAAGCTAGCCAGCTGGGATCTCAAGTTTGAGGCCACCCTAGTCAATATAGTCAAACATCAGGAAAGTCTGTGAGATCCTTATCTCCAATGAAATCAGAAGTGGAACTGTGACTCAAGTCGTAGAATGCTAGTCTTGAGCAAAAGAAGCTCAGGGACAGAGCTCTGACAAAATTCTTCCTTTCACCTAATTCATTTCCCTGCAGGTTATAATATTAACTGGTTTTGTGTTTATAGCTTTATAAATGTTTCCTGCTTTATGTATATTGAAAAGCAGGGGTTTTGGTATTGTAATGATCAAGTTTTAGATTTTGATGGAATCTTCAACATTGTTTAGTCTCTTTCAATTTCATAAATGAGGAAACAAATCAAAATGATTGACAGTGGCTGGCACATAGAGCTTGTGACAGAACCAGTACCATAGCATACATGTTTGGACTCCCAAGCCAGTATTCATCCTACTAAATAAAGCAAATGATAATCTAGAAATTGCAAGTTGTTGGAGGGAACAAAACTAGTTCCAAGTTGTATAATTTTGTTCCTCTAAAGGTTTTTCTTTGGTGTTCTTGGCTGAAGAAAAAAAAAACCCTCAACTTTCAGGTATTTAAAAAAATCAAGATCAAAATTAATAAATGGAGCACCTTGAAGCATAATATAGTCGACTTTGTAATTAGCAGAGTTGAAAGTGATGTGAAGATCCTTTAATTTTCTTTGTGCCTGCAGGAAGGTGGGAGTCAATCATTTTGACAAGTCTTCTGAAAGGAACAGCCAGAAGGAGTTGAAACTCTCTTCCATTTGGTCTCGTGGCAAAGGCAGATATCGCTCCAACAGCTCCATAAAGTATGGAAGACATGTATCTTCTTGTATTCCTTTTTTAAAAAAATTTAAATATCTTTGTTTTTTTTCAAGTGTATACTGAATTTCTACAAATATTTTACATACCCCTATATATTTTTTTTGTTTGCATTATTATTATTTTGTGTGTACCGGTCCTGGGGCTTGAACTCAGCACCTGGGTTCCTATGTTACAAGTTACAATGCAAGGAATTTTAAATATTGGAATACTATTTTCATATATAGTGGATTAGAGTTGGTTTAAGGCTTTTTTCTCATTCCTTGGTGAAACTTCCTATTATTTCTCCAGATATGACGTGCTCACTCGTGCCCTCTGAACAGTCTTCTGGAACCTCTTTTTTGCCTAAAGACAATGCCCCATTTTCTTGGGGTTCCTTGGATGAGGATGGATTAGATGACTCTTTGTTAGAGTTATCTGATGGAGAAGAAGATGATGGCCATTTCAGTTTCACTGAGGAAGAGATTGAGGTGCTCTTAAAGGATGATGGTGATGATGGGCATGATGAAAACAGAGGAAGAGGGAGTCAGAGTCTACGCCATAATTCCCAAGAAAAAAATTCATCGTATAGCTTGGTACCAATAGCTGAGACCTCTGGCTTCTTCAAACTACCTCAGCTAAGTACATCACTTGGTCATGGACCAAATTCTACAAAACCATTAGACAGAAACTCTGTACTTGAAAAAAATTTCGTAAAAGTAACTGTTGCACCATTTAATCCAACAGTTTGTGATCCTGTACTTGATAAAGATAAGACTGATTCATCCAAGGATACTGAAAAATCCTCCTCCCTTGAGGAACAGATGAGAGAAGATGATGATCTTAGTCCAAATGAGAGCAAACTTCATACTGAATCTGAAGGGAGCAACCTCAATCCCACCGTGGATGGGTCCTTGCTCTCTTCTTCAAACAATAACCTGCAACAGACTATATCTGAGAAAAATACACCTGGCAGCAAGAAATCTACTCCTGAATTGCCTCAGATCTCAGACCATTTAGAGACAGCTAATACAGGATCATCCTGGAAAAATGGATCACATAAATCAAGTTCTGAAGTGAGAAATTCAGTTTCCAGTTCTTCAAACAGAGTAAGTATGTTTTTTTCAAGATGAAGAGAAAAATGAAATTGTTTTTGTTTAGAAGCTGTACAGAAGAATTCCTTTATATTGGTGTCTCTGCACATTTCCACCTACAAGAGTAATCATGTCCCACAGTGGTACTTTTGTTACAGTCTAGCAACACTTTGTATTCAGATAAGTTAGGATTTGGACTGATCTAGTACTATTACCTGTGGCTAATTATTTAGCTTCTATGTTCCCCCAAATTTATTTTTTGTAGCCAAGCGCCGGTGGCTCATGCCTGTAATCCTAGCTATGCAGGAGGCTGAGATCTGAGGCTTGTGGTTCCAAGCCAGCCTGGGCAGGAAAGTTCGTTAGACTCTTATCTCCAATAAACTACTAGAAAACCGGAAGTGGCGCTGTGGCTCAAGCATTGAGTGCTCACCTTGAGCTGAAGAGCTCAGGGACAGCGCCCAAGCCCAGAGTTCAAGCCCGATGGCCGACCAAAAAAAATATATATTTTTTGTAATGGGATTAAACCCAGGACCTTAATATATGCTAAGTTTGTGCTCTGTCACTGGTTCAGTCCATCTATAAATTGAAATAAATGTTTGGCAGCATAATGACTAATGAAATAATATATCCACAGTACCTGATTCATCATAAATTATCATTTATTGGATAATTACTAAGATGATGATTTTGTTTGTTGATTTTTTTTGGGGGGGGAGGGGAGCGGTTCTAGCCTAAGTCTTAATCTTTAGTTACCATGCTTATTTGATATGTAGTACCAAGTCTGAGTCAATCACAAAAAAATGGGGGAAAAAATCATAGGAAATTTGCCTTTTTAATTAATTAATTTATTTTTAGTTCTAGGCAAGTGGCTTATCACTGAGCAAACTATTTTTTTGTTGTTACAAGACAGGACTGGAACTCAATACCTGACACTTTACTCTTTGGATGATGTTCTATCAACTGAGCCCAGTATCTCCAACCCCATCCAATTTTTTTTTTTTTGGTCAGTCCTGGGGCTTGAACTAAGGGCCTGGGCACTGTCCCTGAGCTTTTTCATTGTCTACCACTTGGAGCCACAGAACCACTTCTAGTTTTCTGGTTATTAATTGGAGATAAGAGTCATGGACTTTCCTGCCTGGCTTGGCTTTGAACTGCGATCCTTAAAGCTCAGACTCCTGAGTAGCTAGGTTTACAGGTGTAAGCTATGGCGCCCAGCTCAAACTGTTTTTGAGCCATCCCTACCTGCTATATAAGTGTAAAATAATTTCTAGTTTAAAGTCTTCTCCCTCCCACCCTCCCTCCCTCTCTCTTTCTCTCTCTCTCTTTTTCTCAAGTGCTCACTTTCCTTCCTTCCCTCCCTTCCTTCCTTCCTTCCTCTCTTCCTCTTTCTTTTTTCTTCTTTCTTTCTCTGTGTGTTTGCACATGCCCAGGCAACTCCTGGGGCTTGAATTCAAGGCTGGGTACTGTCCCTTGAGCTCTCTGCCACTACAGCTCCAGCTCCATATCTAGCATTTTGGTGGTTAATTGGAAATAAGAGACTTTTTCTTGTCAGGACTGGCTTCAAACCATGATCCTCAGAGCTAGTCCTCCTGAGTAGCTAGGATTATAGGTGTGAGCTGGCACCTTCCATCCATCCATCCATCCAACCACTCTTCCATATGTCCATCTATCTTCCTTTTTCCTCCCCTCCCCTTTCCTTTCTTTCCTTCTTTTTCTTTTGTTTTTAAGGTTATAATTGCTATTTCACTTAAAGTACTACCATAGTGTGTGGTTCACAGAGTAGTGTTCAAAGATACATGCTTGTAGCCTTTGAAAATATTTTCATAAATGATGATGCTTTCAGTTAGATATTGTAAACTGACATAAGTACTTATGCCTAAGAACCATCTTTCCTTTTGCATTTCTTCTTTTGTGGAAAAAGCAGAATATTCATGACAGGGATTCTGGGGAGATGAAAGCTCGTGAGAGAAGCGACAGAAGAGTACTAGGCAAAGTCATTCCTGTTCTACAAACCAAAACTAGGTAATGTAACAGTGTAATGATTCTGGTTTCTGGTAATTCCCTTTTAATTTCCTTTTATCCCCTCTCCAGTGTCCCATTAGTATGGAGGGGGAAATAAAAACCTACATAGGGAATAAACCTGAAGTTTTGGCACTATCTACTTGTGTGTGATCTTGGGCAAGTCTAATCTTTTACTTTAGACCTCAGTTTCCATATCAGTAAAATAATACTAGTGATGACTTCTCTGCTCCTTCACAAGTTATTAGGAAAGTAGAAATCCTGTTAGTGTAAGCAAACATTATATAAATACAAGATTTATCATCCTGTGTATAGAGAATCCTGATTGCTTATATGATAGGAGGTCAGAATAATTTTAACAAAATATAGAATTGTGTAGAAAGCCATTGAGTCATCTGTCCCTACTTGCATTCAATGGGGGAAAAAATCCTAGTTAGGGATTGCAAATTTGGATTCTCTTTTCAGTTTATTTTCTTGTGGCCAGGAGATGGCAGTGTCTGTACATAGGCCTTTTCATTGAATGTATTAGAAAAGCTATATTTTAGATGGAATCAGATCCATTTTCTTAACAGTAGTGAAATACTTTAAAAAATACACACTTATTATATATTCTTTAAAAACTAATGCTAGTTCTTTTTGACTACCACTCCAGTCTTATTGTCTGTTTTTTTTTATTGTTTTGTTAGCCTACTTAAGGGGAAACCTTGTGAATTTCTTTCTTTTCTTTCCTTCCTTCCTTCTTTTTTTTCTTTCTTTCTTTCTTTCTTTCTTTCTGTTGTGAAGCTTTTAACTCAGGGCCTGCAAGTACTGTCCCTGAACTCTTTCTTGAGCCACAGTCCCACTTCTGGTTTTCTGGTGGTTAATTGGAGATATAAGAATCTCACAGAACTTTCCTTCCTAGGCTGGCTTTAAACTGCTATCCTCAAATCTCAGTCTCCTGATTAGCTAGGATTACAGGTGTGAGCCACCAGCAGCCAGCTGTGAATTTCTTATAATCAAAATTGTACCAAAAGAACACTAGCAAGGCCAGTTGGAACAATAGTAAACATACTGTCTCAATATTCTCATCCACTCACTCTTTAGTGTAGTGTATTAGTATGAGAAAGGACAAGAAAGTGCTCTTGCTACAATGCTTGATAAGAAATGTGCTCATTATCTTACCCACATAATTGTAACCCCTCTGTACAATATTTTCACAATAAAAATATATTAAAAATAAAAAAAAGAAAGTACTCTTGCTAAGGTCACCATTGTACTAAATTGCCAGACTTAGCTGGTTCTTTTCAGTCTTCATTCAACTTTTCTGAGGCTCTATGAAGTTAGCTATTTCCTGACTAACCTTGAATTACTTAACAAATGCTTTCTTTCTTTAGAGTCTAGGTAATTTTTACCTTCCTAAACTTTAGTAGCAAGAGTTTGTATCTAATTTTCCTCTTCCTTTTACTTCTCAATGTTATATGACTAACCCTGTCTTCTGTTGCTAGATCTTTGCCTCTGAAAGTTGGTTGTTCAAACCATTCATCAGTGTGTGATTTCTCTTTATAAAATACTATAATCATGGTTCTAATAGACTATTTTTCTTCCTTCCAATTTGCTTTGTTCAGGTCTAGTGTTTCGACATTTTCACAATCTGATCTAGAAAAGCAGAAGGAAATTTATCTCAGCAGAGTCATTGCACATATAGAAGACCCAGGGGACTCCAATCAAGGTAAAATGGTGAACAAAGAATTGTAATCAAACATATGATGGGACTTTTTTTCTTTCGAGTGTAACTCAAACTGGGAAATTATTTTGAGTTTTCTTTTTCTTTTTTGTTTGTTTTTCTTTGAAACAGATTTTCACTATTTAGTCCAGGTTGTCCTTAAACTCATGATTTTCCTGCCTTAGACTCCCAAGTGCTGAGATTACCAGTATATGTTACTATCATTGGTTTGAATTTTCTTAACTTGGTACAGGAAGATAACTTCCTTACCCAAAGATTTACTTTGTCTAACCAGATAGTTATTCAGAGTGCTTTGGGCTTAAACAGTATTAGGGAAGGGTCAAGCAAATTCACCCCCATACTGCAAATGAAGAGTGGCTTCCTGGTGGTTAAGGTGTGTAGTAGTTCAGACATCTACCAATTCTACTATTTCCTCAAAAGAATTACATTTAAAGCACAGTAGGAAACAGGAAGAAATCCTTATGTGTTGGTAAAAGGAGAAGATGGATCAGAAAAATAAGTTCTACAGAAAAAATTTTGAGTTTAGTTACCCTTAAGATCTGATGTAAATTACTAGGGACAGTTTTAGGAGAATTTTCAGTCGTTTTGTAGAGAAGACCCCTCTTTTCTTTTGAAAAAGTCCTTAATTAGTAGCTTTTATTTTATAAGGCTCTAAGTGAAAGGTCTAAGAGACATAAATCAGAAGATTTTTTTTTTTTTCTTTTGGTACTGATCCTGGGGCTTGAACTCAGGGCCTGGGTAATGTGTTTGAACTTTTTACTCAAAGCTAGTTCTGTACCACTTTGGGCCACAGCACCACTTCTGGTTTTCTGGTGGTTAATTGGAGATAAGAGTCTCACAAAGTTGTCTGCCCCAGCTGGCTTTGAACTTCAATCCTCATATCAGCCTCCTGAGTAACTAGGATATATGTAAGCTACCAATATCCAGCTTGTGGGATATTTTTGGTTTGTGCTGTATTTTAGGCCTTCTGGAAGTAGAGATAACCTCTAACCCTCATAGTTGAGGGCCAGATTTAATCAAGCTCTGTGGGAAAGGCCTGGTCATTGCTTTTCTTTCTCTGAGGTGACTTTCCTTCCTTTATATTCTAGACAGTTGACACTGATCCTAGTTACATATTTTTTTCTTGTCTGAGGCATTGAAGGAAAAGTTCAATGGCAAAGAGCAGTTGCACACATTTTAGCATCTTTTCATCCAGTCTTTGAATATTACCATAACAGTCTATATCCTATATGTATTCAGGAACACTAAACATACAGTGGAAAGGCAGCAGACTAGTAGTGGGGAAAATAAAGTCTAGTGTAGAGCTAACTTCTTAGTTCAGATCTTCATACTTACTTGTTAAATGACTTTGACTAGTTAAAAACTTACTTGTAGAGCCAAGCACCTGTGGCTCACACTTACAATACTAGCTACTCAGGAGGCTGAGACCATGTGATCATTCGACATTGGCTTAGAGTTTTAATAAGGTAAAACTCATTGCCATGTGGGAGCTATTTATTGCTTTAAAAATTCAAATTATTGGAAAGTTATTCCTTACATTGAAGCCAACTTGGACTTCTGGTAGTAGTTGCTAGTTTCTGTCTTCTAAGCTTATAAAAAAATTACTCTCTCATTTACTTATTTATTTGTTTTGGTTAATAGAAATAGTTCTCCAAAAGCTGGGTATGGGTGGCTCAACCCTGTAATCCTAGCTACTCAGGAGGCTGAGATCTGAGGATCACAGTTCAAAACCAGTTCGGGCAGGAAAGTCCTTGAGACTCTTATTTTTAATTAACCACCAGAAAACCAAAAGTAATGCTGTGGCTCAAGTGTAGAGCATTAACTTTGAGCTGAAGAGCTGAGGGGATAACACCTAGGCCCGAGTTCAAGCCTCACAACTGACCAAAGAAAGAAAGGAAGAAAGAATTCTCCGACAACAAAAAATTAAAAATTTTTAAAGAATTAAAATTATGCTGGGTGCCAGTAACACCTGTAATCCTAGCTATTTAGGAGGCTGATATCTGAGGATCATGGTTCAAAGCCAGCCCAGGCAGGAGTCCATGAGACTCTTATCTCCAATAAAACCACTAGAAAACTGGAAGTGGTGCTGTGGCTCAAATGGTAGTGTACTTGCCTTGAGCTGAAGAGCTAAGGGATAGTGCCCAGGCCCAGTGTTCAAGCCCCACAACTGATACACACACAAAAGAAAAATTATGCTTCAATCTGATCTGTCAAATCTAGAAGTAAAAAAATTAATATTTTGTTAATTATCTTTCTTATGTGGCAGAATTTTACAGAAAAGTTACTTATTAGAACTCAATAGGTTGAGATTTTAAGATCTGAGGTTTGAAGGGGAAGGAAAGTCCAAGCATTCTTGCCTTCAGTAGCTAGGAGGAGGTATGGCTCAAGTGGGTAGAGCCCAGCCTTGAGTGAAGAGGCTAAGAGACAGTGCTCAGGCCCTGAGTTGAAGCCCTAGCACAAAACAAACAAACAAAAAACCCTCAAAAACTTTTTTAAAAATTTTGGTTAGGGCTGGGAAGGTGGCTCAGTGGTAGAGCGCTTGCCTTGCATGCATGAGGCCCTGGGTTCGATTCCTCAGCACCACATAAGCAGAAAGAAAAAAGCCAGAAGTGGTGGTCAGTCATGGGGCTTGAACTCTGGGCCTGGGCGCTGCCCCTCAGCTATTCAGCTCAAGGCAAGCACACTACATTTGAGCCACAGCACCACTTCTGGTTTTCTGGTGGTTTTATTGGAGAGAAGAGTCTCACAGACTTTCCTGCCTGTGCTGACTTTGAACCATGATCCTCAGATATCAGCCTCCTAACTAGCTAGGATTACAGGTGTGAGCCACTGGCCCCCGGCTTCCTCAAAAACTTTTGATACTTGGCCAAAAAAATCTGTATTAATGTTTATTGCCACCAATATCAATGAATGATTTTAACATTTCATTTGAATAAGGTTAAATGTTTATGATTACTGATAATTTATGTCTTTAATCACAATTTTGAAAAGCATCTTATATTGTATATCCCAGTTTCCAGTTATTTTAAAATACCTTTTTTAACTTGTTCAAATAGATTCTAATTAGAGTTTATGTGTTTATTCATTCTCCCCCTAATTTCTTACAATCTAGGTCACTTGTTTTGTAAATAGTTCAATATTCTGATTGTTTCCTTGGTGTTTTTGACTTATTCTTCCATTCTCTATGTATCTTTAAAAATTGAATCTATAAGCAAGGTTAGATTCAGATTAAGCATTATGGTCAAGAATAGTTCTTTAAAGCTTTTGTTATTCATTCTATACCAAATTGGGAATCACATGTGCTAGAAAATGACAAGTTACTTCACCAGTATGATAATTTGTTAAGGTGTACTGCCATAACTTTAAATTGTAAGGCCCATTTCCCCCACTATACAATTAGCATAGTCTTCGGTGGGGTGATTTTTTTTTTTTGTTTTTTTTTTTTTGGGTCCGGTCATGGGGCCTGAACTCTGGGCCTGGGCACTGTCCCTCAGCTCTTCAGCTCAAGGCTAGCGCTCTAGCGCTTGAGCCACA